GATTTGGTGGGCACTGACCTTGAGTTTGGAGTTGTAGTTCACCTACATCCAGAGAGCACTGTGGACTCAAACAATGATGGATCTGGACCAAACTTGGCACGAATACTCAATATGCCCAAATGTGAACACTGGTGGAGTTTGGGGAAAGTAGACCTTGACATTTGGGAGTTGTAGTTGCTGGGATTTATAGTTCACCTACAATCAAAGAGCATTATGAACTTCACCAACAATGGAATTGAACCAAACTTGGCACACAGAACTCCCATGACCAACAGAAAATACTGGAAGGCTTCGGTGGGCATTGACCTTGAGTTTTGGAATTGTAGTTCACCAACATCCAGAGAGCACTGTGGAGTCAAACAATGATGGATCTGGACCAAACTTGGCACGTATACTCAACATGCCCAAATGTAAACACTGGTAGATTTTGGGGAAAGTAGACCTTGACATTTGGGAGTTGTAGTTGCTGGGATTTATAGTTCACCTACAATCAAAGAGCATTCTGAACCCCACCGACGACAGAAGTGGGCCAAAATTCCCACAGAGAACCCCCATGACCAACAGAAAATACTGTGTTTTCCTGGTGGTCTTTGGTGACTCCTCTGACACCCCCTCACAACCCACCCAGGGGTCCCGACCGCCAGGTTGAGAAACTCTGGTGTAGATGCACTCCTAGATGGCACGATCATTCGTATTCGTATTCATTGCAAGTCCTAATTTCCCCTTTTGCTGCCTCTAGATCGCCTCCGATTACGAATACGATCCTTCCGTGAACTCCCTATTAAACACAATGGACCTTTTCCTGTTGGTTGTTGCAAATCCAGACGGATATGTCTTCTCTCATACGAAAGTGAGTTCTGTTCTTTTTTAAAAAAATAGTATTCCTCTTCCAAACTAGGATGTATGGTAAGATATGGGAAGGAAATTGGACACATTTGTGATTGGATATGTGCTGTTAATCTATATAAATAAAAATGTAATGTTTGTTTGTGGGATTGCCTGAACTCAAAAACCACTGGACAAATTGACACCAAATTTGGACACAAGACACCTAACTACCCAATGTATGTCCTTCACTCAAAAAAATTGATTTTGTTATTTGGGAGTTGTAGTTGCCAGGATTTATAGTACACCCACAATCAAAGAGCATTCTGAACCCCACCAACGATGGAAGTAAACCAGTCTTGGGACACAGAACTCCCATGATCAATAGAAAACACTAGAAGGGTTTGGTGAGCATTCACCTTGAGTTTGGGAGTTGTAGTTCACCTATATCCAGAGAGCACTGGGGACTCAAACAATGCTGGATCTGGACCAAACTTGGCACGAATACTCAATACGCCCAAATATGAACTCAGATGGAGTTTGGGGGGAATAGAGGGAGTTATATATATGTATGTGCATGTTATGTTGTGGTGTGGTGTGGTGCGTTGTGTTGTGGTGTGTGTTGTGGTGCGTTGTGTTGTGTTGTAGTGTGCTATGCTGTGATGTGTTGTGATGTGCTGTGGTGTGGTGTACTGTGGTCTGGTATGCTGTGGTGTGCTGTACCATGTTGCATTATGTGTTATGTTATGTTATGTTATGTTATGTTATGTTATGTTATGTTATGTTATGTTATGTTATATGTGTGTTCACCTGTTGTGGCCCCATGGATTGCATAGGTTTTTTTAGTTGAGTTATCCTCAGAGGTGGTTTTGCCAGGTTCCTTTCTCTGAAATATAGCTTACAGCAACTGGGATTCACTGGGCTTGGAGAAGGTTCTCTGTCAGGGGTGCTTTGATTGTGTCTTCCTACTTGGCCAAATGGAGTTGGACTGGATGGCCTTTGGAGAGCCCTTTGTGTCTTCCTACTCGTCTGAACGGAGTTGGACTGGATGGCCTTTGGGGGCCCTTCTACCCCTAGGATTTTGTGATATCAGGATATGGACAGACTCAATATATAATAACTGCACATCCTTGTTTTCTTGTTTTCTTCTTCTTTTCCTGCAGAATCGCATGTGGCGAAAAACCCGGTCTGAGATCCCCGGCAGCCTTTGCGTCGGAGTGGATCCCAACCGGAACTGGGATGCAGGCTTTGGAGGTAGAGACAAGGGTTTACATTTTAGGGGGATGACTTAGCAAGGCCCTTCTGTTTTGGTTTTTCCTCTGTATTTATTTATAAAGACGTTTACGTCCTGCCGTTGAGCCACACAACTGCAAGGTCAACTTCAGCTGGAGATTTAACTAGTCTTGTGCATTTGTATAGAATCGCTATTCATTTCTGTTTGTTTTATGTGTCACCCCCCCCCCCTATTTTTGTACACTTTCCGAAAACGAGCACCTTTCCATGTTGCATCCCAGATCAAGAAACGAGACCATAAGATTAAATCCACCACACTGGACTGTAGGAAAAGCAATCCTTGTTTATTGATGAAAAATTGGTTACAAAAGAAAGGTAAATGCAAAGTCAAAAAGCCACAGAAAAACACAGCAGTCAGTAGAATCTCTGAACTTGAGCAAAATTTCAAAAGCCACAATACAAGAACCAGGAACCTGTTAGCCTCTCGCTAACCATGAACTTGAAAACTAGAAGCCTCTGGGATTACCGGCCATGGAACACAGGAATTCTGCCAAGGCACAGCCACAGTCCCAAACGTTGCTTGATCTAAAGAGACACCCGGCAGGAGGCCCCTTAAACCAAAGAAGATATTCTTTGAAACGCCCCTTGACTTTGAAGCCTGGGCCTGTCTCTCCTGTAAACGATTTGACCTTCGTAGAAACTGTGAAACATTTCTGTCTCTAACTATCTGTTCTCTTCGGTCCTCATTAAAAAACCCAGGTGGAGAGATATCACGGCTAGCTTCCAAAACATTTTCCTCCAGCTGTTCAGTTTCACTTTCCTCGCCGCTGACCTCAGCATCAACAACAGATTCCACACTCTCAGGGAGAGCTTACTCAGTTGGAAAAACTATCAGAGAATCCGGTTCACACAGATCAGGATCAGGCTGAACCCCAACATTCCAAATGAGCTTTTCTATTCCGTGTCCGAAAGAACGAAAATTTTCGGATCATTGGCCAACATGGGTGGTATTCCCCGGGCTCCTCTTCCCACACTTTTAGGGCTAGAGGGGTGAAAATCACCAAACTCAGGGTGCACATGTACCACTTTTAGTATCCCAAGTTTTGTAATGTTTGGGTCATTCCCCGATTTTTAGTGATTTTTCTTTCTTTCTAGAAATAGCATTTCCTTTAAAACATTCCATCTTTTCCTCCGCTGACCCTGCACCCTAACTTTTCCAGCAACAGCAGCAAAAGATTCCTTCCTAGTGCTCAGCCCCACTATTTCACTTTTTTCCTTAATTAAACAAAATAAGAAAACTTAACTTTGGGGGCAATCACTCCAATACATACAATAACCAAGGCATGCCCATGTGACGACATTCTTATCCTCAGAGGTAAATACTAGTATATGACAATTCTCCATGGGCCGCGTGGGGAGTACCAGGTTGTCCGAAAATCAGGCAAATAAACGGTAACCGTTCCTACTTACTTTCGTTTTTGGGCTTATTTTCGTACCGGAGGAGTAGGTTACCGTTTCGTGCCCCGCGAATGAAACAAACAGAATTAAAACACGAATTAAATGGCAGAAACGGGCACCGTGCACATGAATATTTATAACAATGATACAAAACACAAGAAAGGAAAAGTGAAACTATAGTAGAAAACACAAAGGTAGCACAATTAGCTGACTAATTAAACCCACTGAAAACCTGACCAAATATATATATATATATACACATATGCACATATACCACTACTACTACTACTAATAATAATAATAATAATAATAAATAAACTTTATTTATACTCCACCACCATCTCCCCAACAGGGACTCGGGGCAGCATACACACACACACACACACAAATAAATAAATTAATAATAAATAAATAAATAATAATAACAATAAATAAATTTTATTTATACCCGCCACCATCTCCCCAACGGGGGCTCGGGACAGCATACACACACACACACACACACACACATGCAAAAAAATAATAATAATAATAATAATAATAATAATAATAAATAAAATTTATTTATACCCCGCCACCAAATAATAATAATAATAATAATAATAATAATAATAATAATAATAATAATAAAAATAATAATAAATAAAATTTATTTATACCCCGCCACCATCTCCCCAACGGGGACTCGGGGCAGCATACACACACACACACACACACATACACACAAATAATAATAATAATAATAATAATAATAATAATAATAATAATAAAATTTATTTATACCCTGCCACCAAATAATAATAATAATAATAATAATAATAATAATAATAATAATAATAATAAATAAAATTTATGTATACCCTGCCACCAAATAATAATAATAATAATAATAATAATAATAATAATAAATAAAATTTATTTATACCCCGCCACCATCTCCCCAACGGGGACTCGGGGCAGCATACACACACACACACACACACACAAATAATAATAATAATAATAATAATAATAATAATAATAATAATATTTATTTATACCCTGCCACCATCTCCCCAACGGGGACTCGGGGCAGCACACACACACACACACAAATAATAATAATAATAATAATAATAATAATAATAATAATAATATTTATTTATACCCTGCCACCATCTCCCCAACGGGGACTCGGGGCAGCACACACACACACACACACAAATAATAATAATAATAATAATAATAATAATAATAATAATAATATTTATTTATACCCTGCCACCATCTCCCCAACGGGGACTCGGGGCAGCACACACACACACACACAAATAATAATAATAATAATAATAATAATAATAATAATAATAATATTTATTTATACCCTGCCACCATCTCCCCAACGGGGACTCGGGGCAGCACACACACACACACACACACACAAAATAATAATAATAATAATAATAATAATAATAATAATAATAATAAATATTATTTATACTCTGCCACCATCTCCCCAACGGGGACTCGGGGCAGCATACACACACACACACACACACATACACATACACACAAATAATAATAATAATAATAATAATAATAAAAAATTAATTTTATTTATACAATAGACAGCATACATACACACACACATATATACATGTGTGTGTGTGTGTGTGTGTATGTGTGTGTATGTGTATATATATATATATATATATATATATATATATAGGCATGGGCAATCCATGGTTCTAAATGGTTCTAATGTACTTACAAAACTAGGGGGCATTGGTGCTTTGCTTCTAAAGTTTTGCTAAAGTTTCAGAATACTAACAAAACTTTCAAGATTTTGTTATAAATGGCAGTTCCTAATTGGTTCTGTCACAAAAATAGCCAATAATGAAATAATAATGAAATTTTGAACTGATGCTCAAATCACATTTTACCCAATGTCATAGTGAATTGGTTGCAAATCACAGCTCAATGCCATATCTCAGAGTGACTTGAGGACATGTCTGTTGCTGCCAAACTTCAGACTCAAACCCAAAGTGGATCCATCACTTGGCCAGCCTGAAACCAACCAGGTCGTTGCTAACTTGGGCTAAACTTTGGATTGAAGTTCAGAGTGGATTTACTGCTCCCGTTGGAAAACATAGGAAGCATCTACAATATAGATGCACTCGTAATTTGCAAATGTTGTTGTTTGGGCTTCTCCTGTCTTCTCGCTTCCTAGGTCCTGGAGCCAGCAGCAACCCTTGCTCTGATTCGTACCACGGTCCGAGTGCTGACTCGGAAGTGGAGGTCAGGTCTGTGGTGGACTTCATCAAGAGTCACGGGAACGTTAAGGCCTTCATCAGCATCCACAGCTATTCCCAACTCCTGATGTTCCCCTACGGATACACCTGTGACAACATCCAGGATCACGCAGAACTGGTAAG